ATTATTTCTGTTCTCCTATTCAATAGCACTGCACTGTCAACTTCTTTTGCCAGATTTTGCTCTCCTCAAAATAATGCTCCATTTTATGAATGGACTTTTACCATGTTCTGCTTGTGCACTTTTTATATGTCTGTTTTTGGTATGGTAATTTTTCCAACCATTTTATATATTTTTGTGTTATACAATTATATATAATAAATAGACACATACATATATATATTATATAAATATGTATTTTTATAGTGAGTAAGTTGTTTTTGTCCATAAGCAAAAATTTTAATAAATAATTATTGCTCTATTCTTGGTATTGAACCTTCTTTTGAATTAATATTTTATATAGTGGAACCTCAGTGGATGAATTTAATTCGATCCTGAAGCCTGTTTGTAAAACAAAACTATTTTTGCAATAGGAATCAATGTAAAATGGTTTAATCTGTTCCTGGTCACAAGATGATTGCTTATTTAAACTTTAACCATACTTTGTGCACAAGTTTATACACGAAACTAATGAAAAATCATATAATACACGAAACTAATGAAAAATCATATAATACATGAAACTAATGAAAATCATATAATACACGAAACTAATGAAAAATCATATAATACACGAAACTAATGAAAAATCATATAATACACGAAACTAATGAAAATCATATAATACACGAAACTAATGAAAAATCATATAATACACGAAACTAATGAAAAATCATATAATACACGAAACTAATGAAAAATCATATAATACACGAAACTAATGAAAAATCATATAATACATGAAACTAATGAAAAATCATATAATACACGAAACTAATGAAAAATCATATAATACATGAAACTAATAAAAATTATTAAATCTAAAACACCCCCAAAGAAAACCCCAAATACTAAACAGATAGAATACAGATGAACACTTCAATTTTACCATACCTGTATGTAGGAGAGTTGATGGCGGAAGGGGAAGAAAAGAGATGTTATTGTTTGGAAAAGGGAAGGAAAGACATAATCGTCTTTATTTATAAGAATAGTATAGATCATTGCTTTTGCCATATGAAACTGCATAGGAAGAGACAATATCATCAACAATTGTTTTTCTCTTAACTTTTCTTTTTCCTTTACCAGTATTATTGCTAGCTTTCTTTGGAGCCATGACTAAGGACTAATGAAGAGAAAAAAAAAACAGTACAATAAAATCGGAAAAGAAAAGCATAGCACAACATATGAATGTATGCAACATAGCAGTCAACTAAGAAATGATTCCGTTCAGGTTGGCTCAGTTTGACAATGTTGTTCAAGAACTGAAATTCTTTTTGATAACCGAGACATTTTCATCTTGAATATTCTGTTTGAAAACTGATTTGTTTGACATGTGAGATGTTCAAGAATAAAGGTTGCACTATATATATATATATATATATATATATATATTTGTAATACTTTTAACATGCTGCACAGATACTACACTGATCTTAGGCAGAAATGCTCTGGATGAAGATTCTAGGCAAAGAACTGATCTTGAGCCAAGGAGAGACTTTTTTAATCTAGGAAGAAATGATAAGCCATATGCAAATAATGCTGTCATTTTTGACTGGTTAAGTTCAGGAAGTTGTGGAGAGCCATAAGGAGATATGACATGGGAAGTAGAATATTATATTACCTGATGTATTTCTGAAGATTCTTGTCCCAAGTAAAGTGTGTTGGTTTTCTTTGCAGTCAGTTTTTGCAGGAAGCAGGGATTCGTGAAGCTATGAAGATAACTGGAAATGAAAACACAAAACAAATTTCTTACAGTTTAATGCTAATTAAAAGGACATGCGAACATACAAGCAAATTATAACAATTGCTTTCTGACTTATAGGATTCATTTGTCCTGTATAAGCGAAGAACAATTTAAATATTATATTTATCTCAGGTGGCCAACACCAAAATATCGATACAAACAATTGCAGTTTTATGATGAGTTGCAGTGGTTTGGTTTGTTTTATGGCATATCAACCTCAATGGGTTATTTAAGGCCGACAAAATTTTTATTGCTGGTAACATCCTCCTTCCCAAAATGCACTGCTGGTAATATGTTTTTCCTCAAAAGTCCATTTCTGGGAATATTTTTCCTTCAAAAAATGTATGGCTGGTAATATGTTTTTCCAAAAATGCATAGTTGGCAATACCCTCTTTCAAAAAAAATACATAGCTGTTTGTATTGCTGGTAATGCTTCTTTTTTTTTCTTTTTAAAAGTATTGCTAATAATAACCCTTCCTTCAAAAACCTCTGGTATTAAAACCAACCCCTACACAGTACTCCAACTTAAGTTTGGGTGCCAACCATCTGACCATATCTGGGACCCCAACAGGTGCCACCTTCTTTGGTCAGGGTGAACTTGGGAGCACCGGCAAATAAGAGGTGGTTTCACGCTCCTCAAAACCTCCTGATCAAAGGCCATGCTTTTGGATGTAGTTTATCGTCTTACTCAGTCAGGATGTGAATGTAGTTTATCATCAT